GGAAGATTGTTGAGCTAAAAATGGTAAAGATTGGGTTGTGGGTTGATGGAATCCTCCATAAAAGGACCTTGAAGCCTTAATGCACACGTAGTGTTTGATAAAATGCTCAAATGAGCTAGAACCATGAGCATCTTCCTAATTTTGGTTCAATTTGTTATATTTCTACAATAGATTGAAGTTGTTAAGAATTCCTAAACATTTTAGAGTTTAAGGAAGCTCGATTGAGGTATGTTGGCTAAAACTTTCTCCTAGAATTGAATCCCATGGTATCCATGTAATCTATCTAAGTCCCGAATTGTTCATTATGAAAGTGGCTATTCTGAATAAGCTTGTGTGGAAAGATATATATTCAATAGGTATTCCAAAATGCCTTTATCATGTTATGTTGTCATTTGAGATTACGTTCAAAGTATGGGATGTGCGTTAATAATATTGCGACTTCAAGTCAAGTTCAAATGAAGGATATTATGCCAAATTTTGTGAAAAACCTCTATGTGCCTACGACTCTTAATTGCTCACATGTGTACTAAAAAAATTGATTTATAATGCCTTGTTGTTGATGATGATGATGATGATGTTTAAAAGTGAAAAGGGTGAGTATGGAATACTAAATGTGGCCATCGTGCCCAGAATGAGAATTACATATGTGGCCAATAGTGCCAATGAAATGAAAGAATGTGTGAACATTATGAGATGAGTTTTAGCTCCTTTACATAATAATGTCATTAAGGTCCTATGATCATTCATGGCTAGTACAAGTAAGCGATAGTATGAACATAAATTGTGGTCATTTGCCAAAACGGGAATAATGAATGAAACCCTATGGACAGTCTATGAAACACATAGGAATATTGTGTTATGAAACCCTATGGACTGTCGATGAAATGTATAGGAATATTGTGTTATGAAACCCTATGGATGGTCTATGAAACGCATAGGAATATTGTGTTATGAAACCCTATGGACGGTCTATGAAACGCATAGGTATATTGTGTTATGAAATCTTGTGGACGGTCTATGAAACACATCGGTATATTGTGTTATGAAATCCTGTAGACGGTCTATGAAACGCATAGGTATATTGTGTTATGAAATCCTGTAGACGGTCTATGAAACGCATAGGTATATTGTGTTATGAAATCATGTGGACAGTCTATGAAACGTATAGGTATATTGTGTTGTGAAATCCTGTGGACGGTCTATGAAATGCATAGGTATATTATGTTATGAAATCCTGAGGACGGTCTATAAAACGCATAGGTATATTGTGTTATGAAATCCTGTGGACGGACTGTGAAATGCATAGGTATATTGTGTTATGAAATTCTGTGGACGGTTTGTGAAACGCATAGGTATATTATGTTATGAAATCCTTTAGACGGTCTATGAACCACATAGGTATATTGTGTTATGAAATCCTGTGGACGGTCTATGAAACGCATAGGTATATTGTGTTACGAAATCCTGTTGACGGTCTATGAAACGCATAGGTATATTGTGTTATGAAATCCTGTGGACGGTCTATGAAACACATAGTTATATTGTGTTATGAAATTTTGTGGACGGTCTATGAAACGCATAGGTGCATTGTGTATGAGAAGTATAGGTGTACGGTATGAATAAACACTATGGACGGTCTATGAAACGCATAAGTGTAGAATATGATATGTGAACACTAAGGACGGCCTAATGAGACACATTATTTATGCAGACAATAGGTGCCACTTTCGTTGTCCTTGTTTGTACATGTTGTTTCAATTACATTATATTATGTGTTTCACGTATAGATCATATGCGCATTCTATTTTGAAAGAGGATTTTTAGCTATGCATACTAGTGTTATTCGACAGTACTAACGTTCCTTTTTCCGGGGGCGCTATATCTTTAATTGATGCAGGTGGTTCTACAGCAGGAAGCATTGATCAGTGATAACAGTAGACTCTTTTCAGCTGATTTGGTGAGCCCTACTTCATTTCGGGGTCATGTATGTTTTGTTTCTCATGTATTGTGTTTTGAGGTATAGCCGGGGCCTTGTTGCCAGAACTTCCATAGTACTCTTCTATTGTACTTAGAGGCTCCGTAGACAGGTTGTAGGTTGTGGTTGATATTGGGAATTGAACTAGAAATGTTGGTATTTGGAAATCATGTTTTTCATTAATTCTATAAACTCGTAATATTTTGGAAATTATGAATGAAGCTGCTAATGGGAATGAAAAGGAAGTTGTTAATAAAATCTTTTCAGTGTTTGATTAATGGAGTACATCTTCTCTTTATTCATGGATGAGTTTGGGTAGAAGAAAATTTAACAGGCTTTCTCGGCCAGGTTCTCTCGGTTGAGCACCGGTCGCGCTCCCCGAGTTTGGGGCATGACACATCAAACCTGTATATATAAAATGGACTCCAAGGAATAGACCTGGTAACTCCGAGGAAGTGGAGCTTACCAACCGATATGATGTTTGAATCTATTTACTAGGAAGGTCTATCCAACTGCCTATCAGGACCTGCATGCATGAAATGCAGCGTCCCCAGCAAAAGGGACGCAGTACGAAATAATGTACCGAGTATGTAAGGCAACAGAATAATTGAAAGCTGAAACTGAACTGATAATATAATAACTGAAAGTAACTCGGAGTCAAAGATAATATGAAGATATGCTTACCTGTTGATACTGACTCAACTCTCTCAATATAGTAAGTAAAATAGCTGCCCGACCCTATGAGGCTTGGTACGTATAACCTCTCTGTCGTAGTAGTCTCTCTCATAGGCGTTCGGCCACAGTAGGCTCGGTATATAACTTACCATCTAATCTGAGGTTTCCCAATAGGGGCCTTCCCACCGATTATAGCTTGATGGTGGTAAAAATACTGTAGTACTGCCCAATAGGGGCTTGCCCACCGATTATAGCTCGATGGTTGTAAAAATACTATAATACTATATAATACTATATATATANAAGTCTCTATAAGGAAGAATACTGTAACTTATGAGACTAGGACAATGTACACAGGTTCAAGAATACGAACTTCTCTTTATGTCTCGTTATGAAACATATGTAGTTATGGGATCTTGTAAAAATGAAGAAAAGGTTTAGCCTTAACATACCTTAATCCCGTTGAGTCCTTAATACCTTCCAAGCAACTCTTCAAACCACTCGATGCAATCTACCAAAGCATAAGGAGATTTAAAATCAGTGCTAAGTAAAGGCTAAGTCCGTAACGTAAGTTGGTAGCTCGTTTACGTAAATTCGGCCAGGAAGCTTACAAAAACTCTTGACTCAATCAACTAAATTGTAGCTACCCCTTCCCAAACTAACTCTTGCCCAAGAAGCTTACAAAAACTCAAAGTTTCTGGACTAACCTACTATTATACTTCTCAAAAACATATAGGTCACAATCTGAAACACTTGACTCAACCTAACAACTAAAGAACTTCAACAACTTCTTCTTTAGGAACATGTTCTTTAGAGGAGCGGCTTGAGTCTTCAAGAGTATCTTCTTGCATTGTTTGTTTTTGTCAGGAGTAGTTCTATATATGTGATTTTTTATAGCGTTAACCTTGGACTGCATCAAAAAGGCTCCTTTTATAGTTGCAAAGTTGGCCGAATATCTTCTTCAATTAATACTCCAAAACGTATAATATTTAGGTTAAGGAAAACCTCTCCTATTTTGATTTGGTTTCCTTATTTTTTCAACTCTTCAACTTTCTCTTTCCACATAAGTATTCCCTTATTTACAAGAATCCTTTTGATCACGGACTCCTCTCAGTTAATGCATTCTATGTAAAGCGCGAACATAACTTGCTTGAGGAATTCAGCTTGCACAAGTATTCTGATAACCTGCGTGTGATGAGCACTAGACTTTAGTCTGCTACGAACCTGGTTCATTTGTCAATTGTATCTCACTCATGCACACCTGTTAAGTTACACATCATCCTGGAACATGAAACTCGATTATTTCACATAGTTGATCCTGGTTTGTTCATCATCAAATTATAATACATGCTCAGCCCAACATTCATACTTATTGAGTACATGTTGTCCAGTACTCATGTTACACTTCTGTACATTTTCATGTAGATTGGGGTGTTGGCAGCAGCGGATCTTGCGAGTGAGCTTTTGATTGATCGAAAGGATTCAAGGTAGTGCTACATGGATGCCGCACACCCTTGGAGTCCCTTCCCTCATCTTATGTTGTTATTTTTTATTCAGACAATATTACACTATTAACACATATCCTATATTTGGTTTTAGAGCTAATGACTCTGTACTACCTGGTTTTGGGAATTTGGTTTATGTATCACAATATTAGCTATTGTTGGAGCTTTACACTGCTATTTATATTAATTCAAACTTATTATATCTTGTTTTGTTGTTTTCATATTATTGTGTGATTGGCTAACCTGGTCTGGAAGTTACGTGCCATCACGACCTTTGGTGGGATTTTGGATCGTGACAACAACTTCAATATGTACATACCCGATGAAGAACAACAACAACAACAACCAAGTATAATCTCACTAGTGGGGTCTGGGGAGCGTAGTGTGTACGCAGACCTTACCTCTACCCTGGGGTAGAGAGGCTGTTTCCGATAGACCCTCGGCTCTCTCCCTCCAAGAAATTCCCATCTTGCTCTTGGGGTGACTCGAACTCACAACCTTTTGGTTGGAAGTAGAGGGTGCTTACCACTAGAGCAACCTTACATACCCGACGAAGAAATACTAACAAAAGCTCTACCAAACAAAACTATTGAAGCTTGAATGGCAGACCCTTTTGCTAGATTAATCAAAGAATATACAACAATGGAACTCAAGAATTTTGTATTCAAACAAGGTAGATATATCTATTTAGAGAGAAAAAAGAAACTCCCTCTAAATATAAAATTAAAAATTTCCTGTACAAGCTAGCTAGATGCTAAATCATTTCTCAACCCTCTGCAAAGATCAACAACCATCTTTTCTGTCTCATTAATAAATTGTACCAGATTAACATGATTCTAAATGTATCATAGAATTGAATTTCCTTGAGTTGATGATCCGGGGTTGAGCCATGCATGCTGTTGCACCACAAAAATTGAAGCAGTAGAAGAAAAGTCTGATGTCAGCAGCAGATCCCCAATCGACCCTAGCTCCGGGCAGTCGCTCCACTCATCTAACCCACCCTTCAGCGGCGAAAAGAACCCCAATCCTCTTCCTACCACATAGAGATCAAAATCCTGATCTAGTGTTGCTATTATTTTCACTGTTTCTGCCCCATTACTAGACATCTCCTCTATATAAACAACTGAGCCATCATTCTGTACCTTGTGCCTAAACTCATTTACCAAAAGGTCATCAGCTTGCTTTTCAGCTTCAGCTCCCATTATGACGGAAAAATCTTCATCGTCATTTTGTGTTGAACCAGCTATAGCTCTACTTTCATCTAGAATAAACCTCAAAACTGTTAGACTTACCTTCGGATGTCTCGCCATGCGCAAAGCATAGGTCAAAGCCTCTCTGTCATCAGGCCCCCCTATAAAGATCATGGCAATTCTGCAACTCCTACTTATACCCTCGTCTTTTTTAGTAGGTAACAATGTGCCAAAACCACGATCTACAAGAATACCAACAGTAGAAGGTGCATTTGCTAAAATATTATTATTTACATCTTTATAAGCAGGATTCATTTCTTCCATGTTATTATGGATAGTCTGTCTCTTGTGGAATGGGAGAATGATTAGTGTCACCTGCTTTTCCTCAGCAAGACTGCAGACATCCTCATGCATTGTGCCATAAGGAGATATAGCAGTCAATAGCTGAACAGATATATTTGGACTTTGATGCTCTAAGTTGTTAAACGCAGCAATTAATTGGTCTATTTGTCCGCCTACTTTACTGACGCTTTTTGAGCTAGCCCTGCTGGAGTCATGAACAATGAGGAGAGCGGTAGTATGTTTTTTCAGCTGCATGAGCTGAAGAGCAAAGACGCAAATTGGGGATCTTCTGGAGGCATGGGATATTTCCAGGAGTGCAGTAATTCCAGCAACAGTTTGTACTTCATGAATACAGGTAAGGATTCGGAGCTCAGCATCTGGTTTTAGGTCCTGTAACACCCTGTGCTGGCTTGGCAAGAACCTTTTAGTCCGTCTATAGAGGAAGTTCACAATTGGTGATGTTGCTATGCTCATGAAAAAAATGGTAAACAACATGATGGCAAATCCATCCTCATTCATTACAGTATGGTCACGCCCCAAGCTCATTGCCATGACAGCTACCAGGCCTTTGGTGTTCATCAAGACACCAAGTGNGGACTCCAAGTGTAAATCCTTCACGCAACGACATTTTATACAAGTAAGAAACAGCAATAGTGCAAACAATCTTAGGTATGAAGGAAAAGAAGCTAACTAGAACCATCATAAGCACGTCCTCTTTGTTTAATCCCCCAAGATGAGTCCTCATTCCCAAACTAGCATAATAAAGAGGCAGCAACAAGTCCGACGCAAAGCCTTGTAGCATCAACACAAACCTATGCCCCAAGAAATCTGGAGGTATGATAAGACCAAATACAAATGCACCAAGCATAGAGCTAACTCCACATATATCCGTCACCAACCCACAAACCAAGACCATTGCAAGTATAGCACAAACTACTGCTTCACTAAATTCTTCTCCTTCTCGGGTCCTCCTCCTAATCACCCACAAAAGTGCCGGACGGATTACAAAAATACTGAAAATGATGAACACAATAGCACTAAACAATGACAAGAACGTACTTGAATAGCTACTAGTTATTGATAATGAGACTACAAGGAGAAACCATGACGACAAGTCATTAACAAGGGCTGAAGACATGGCTATTCTTCCAATCTCTGAATGGAGGAGCTTTAGTTTTGCAAAGATTTCTGCTATAACAGGAAGGCCAGTGACTGAGAGTGCTACACCCCAATAAAGGAAACCCCACCTGAAACTCTCAGGATAGTCCGCGATAAAAATGTACAAGGAAGCTCCAATAACAAAGGGGAAAATAGCTCCAGCAATACCAATGCCAAGGGCTTTCGGTCCAACACTTGTTAATGCTCTTAAGTCCATTTCTAACCCAAGAAGAAATACATGATAAATTAGCCCAAGGTTTCCCACTGTCTCCATCATCATAATTCGAGAGGCTGCAAATATAGCACCCAACGCTGGAATATGTTCTCGTGCGAATTCACTTGCAATTGCAGTTGAACCCACCAGTATACCAGCCTGCCAAACGCAACAAAATGCACACTTCATAAATTGGCATTATGATTCACAATGAGGAATTTGCTTCTTCTCTAAAAAAGAAATCACAAAAATTACACTTCAATCCGCAGCTTAATATTTGATATAATAGCATGAGTGTGCTCCAAAATTTGTGTTTATTCACAAGGAAGTGATCTATAAAGTAGAACAAGCTAGGAAAACTTAACATATCAAATGAAGCCAAATTAAGATGACTTAGTCTCGTAAGAGCAAAAGCAGCTAACCAATAAAAATAGTATCGAACCTCTATTAATTATCTTCGTGCATGATAGGTCACATAATAATATTAATCTTTCTAGTAAACCAACTAAAAAAAGTTTAAAGAAATTTCAAGTACGAACAATCAAACCCATGCAAAGAAAGACATGAAAATGTGGCTTAGCTAGGTAGTATTAATTTGACACTTACTTGGTTTCAATAGATATGACATGTTTGATGAGAATAGATTTTGATATTCATCTTGACTTATGTATTATATTAGTGATCGTAAGAAAAAATAGTAAAGTAATGGTTAGAAAAGTACACTTTGATAGAATATCTATTTCATTATTTAATTTTAATCTTTCAAATTCATCTGATTTATAACAACACGAATATCTTTGTCTTATGTTTCTTGTTTATTTAACTTCGTGCCTAAGCCAAAAAACAAATTGGGACAGAGAGAATATCAAAGTTTAAATATTGAAATTGTTAGAAATGGGATAAAAAATGACATGTTGTCAATATCCAAATGGGTAGGAGTGTCGTACAAACTACGCCTAAACGAAATAAGCAATTATACATACGAGCAATTCAGCAGCGAAATGGGGTTGGCGGAGGGGTTTGAGGAGGAGCAGACAAAGGCGGGTGACGAATAGAACAATAGCAAGTTGAAAGATAAAGATTGGGAGTTTGGAATCCAAAGGGTTGATTTCTTCCCAAATGCCATTGTCGGTAACCGTATCTGTCATATAACACAATTTGTCAACACCCGCCACTGGTTTCCCTCGGACATTATACGATGGAATATCTGGGGTCTTCAAGAAATTCGGATTAACCATTTTGCTTTAGATCTCCCGGGGAGGCACTCTGGCGACAGTTGAAGCTGCCACCTTTTGGCCGTTTTCGGTGCATAAAACGGAAAAGAAAAGCTGAGAAAAAATGTTGAGACGTGAGAAAATCTCCTTAGATCATGCATGATTGATTTTACTCAGAAAACGTACAAATGGATGGTTTGCCGTTCTGCATGGGTTTCATTAGTTGCTCCAAAATGAGCGTGAAGGAAAAGAAATAAAAGGAAGAAAAAACAAAAAGAGGAGGAAAAGGTGATGATGTGGCATGCTTTACTCCATTATTTTATTACTTTTCTTCTATTTCCAAAAGGAAAGATGTAACGGTTGTAACTCTCCTTTTTATTTGAATCAGTTCAACACTTCACATTCATTTTGCATGAATAGGTGTACCCCTTTTCATTTTTCATACTGATAAAATGAATATTAACTTCACTGAGGGGAAATGCTAGGACTTTTACCAATACCACATGCAAATAATTGATCCAATGCACTATATTATATCTGCTTTTTCCTCCAGATTTTTCTTACTGGTAAAATTAATTGATATTGTTATCCGCTTTGACAGTTGAACAAAATTAGGTGATCATCTAGCATAGAAATTCTTTCTTTGTTGAGTATATCAGGATTGTTTTCCTTTGTAATCGAGAAAGTTTGCCTGATTTATTGCAATTAAAAATGCTCATTTCTTCTCTTTTGTATTCTCTTTCACTTTGAGGAATGGTGAGGAAAGAACATAAACAAAGGAGACATCACAAAAACTTGCGGAAGTGATGCAATGAAATTAGAGAAGCAGAAATCGTCACAAGAGTTATAACCTGCCTTCTTTTTCTGGTAAGAACTCTTCCCACTTTTGATTATTTGGATTTATGAACATGAACATAATCAAAATAACAATTATATATTCCATTTTATGTATAAGTTAAAGAGCTCATTTTGCAGATCTCATTTTGCTTGAAAGATGAAGAAACAAATAAGAGATAATATGAACACACATGATTAAAGCACACAGCGCTCTTTAGGTGATTTTTATTGCTTTTGAGAATCAAATATGAAAGAAAAAGAGTACATAAAGCTAAGTATTAATTTATACTGGTCCTTCTATAAAAATTACCAAAATTTGACCTCTTCTTTTGTATTCTCATTCGGCATATCCTTCTTTTTCAGGGAAATACATATCCTTCTCTCTTAGGGAAATACAAAGATATCTTTTATAAAAATGTATATTGAAACTAAAACGTATAATAATTTTTATTTATTTACTATTTCTTCCTGTTAGAATAAATTGCGAGGTGGGAATAACAAATTGTGTACCTTTATAACGCAGCACAGATCTTTGAACTCACCATCGAAGAATAAGTTGCTCCATGTCAAACATCGATTCAGTAAACAGAGTTAGTATCTCACAAATTAGATGTGTTTATTGTGTGTGTTTTTGGGAGGTAAAGCCAGAGAAATCTTATACATGTAGAAAGCTGTAACGATCCGACCAGTTGTTTTGAGCGTTAGCGTTCCGATCAATTGTTCGAGGTCTTGAGTAGCTTCATATTGTGTATTATGACTTGCGTTTATGGTCGGATTCAATTTTCGGATGTTTTGGGATTTATTTGGATGAGTGGTTCTTATTTTAGAAGCTTAAGTTCGAAATGTTGATCGAGATTTGACTTTTGTAAAAATAACCCCGGAACGGTATTTTTATGGCTCCGATAGGTTTGTGTTTTGATTTTAGAATTGGGCATATACCCGGAATTAAATTCGGAGGTCCCTGATTGATTTGGCTTGTTTTGCCGAAAGTTGGCAATTTAAAGGTTTAAAATTTTTTTATGTCTAACTATGGTTTGACTTTATGACTATCATGTTCGAATTTCAGTTTTGGGAGTTAGAATAGGTCCGTTTTGTTATTTGAAAATTATTTGTAAAGTTTTGCGTCATTCCGATTTGATTTGATAGAAATCGGACGCGTGGTTGTGTTTTTAGAAGTTCTTGAGTTTCAATTAAAATTTCATGCATTTTGATGTCTGATTCACGGTTCTAGATATTATTTTGGTATTTTGATAGCGTGAGCGAGTTTATATGATATTTGTAGACTTGTGTGGATGTTTGGTTTGGAGCCCCGAGGGCTCGGGTGAGTTTCTGACGCGTTTCGGAGTGTTTGGAAGAGTTGCAGTTTTGCTGGTTTTTGAATAGGTGTTGCAGGCCTCGCAAATGCGAGATTTTGTTCGCAATTGCGACCTACGCATTTGCGAGGTGAGAGTCGCATTTGCGAAGCTCACTGTGTCTGTTAGGTTCTCATTAGCGAATATTTTGTTTTTTTTTGTGATTGGGGTCTGGACTAGGCAGGAACGCAATTGCGATCATTTGGTCATTTTTGCGAAATGTTCAGTGTTCGCATTTGCGACATTAGCAGGGCCGTGATGGATGTCGCTTTTGTGATCATTTTTTGCATTTGCGGGGTTCGCATTTGCGAATCCTAGGTCGCATTTGCGACACCTGCTCTAGAACATTAAGGCTGGAAGACGGGATTTTGGTCTCATTTTTCATATCTTGAACCCTAGACTCGGTAGGAGGCGATTTGGAGATTGTATTTTCATCTACAATCATTGAGTAAGTGATTTTAAAAAATTTATAATTATATTACATGATTATATATGAGATTTAACATCAAAATTTTGAGAATCAAAGTGAAATTTTGGGAAAACTTTGTCTATGTTTTGAAAAATAAAAATTTGGGATTTGAGTGTCGAATGGGACTCGGATTTTGAAGAAAAATACATATATGGACTCGTGGGATTATGGGTAGTCGATACCTACCCTTGGACCCGGGTGTTGACCGGGCGGGCCCAACGTTGATTTTTGTTGACTTTTGAGGAATTGTATAAAGATCATAGCTTTACTTATTGGAATTGGTTTCTCTTGCATTATTTGATGTTATTAAGTCGATTTTTATTGGATTTGAGCCGAGCGGAGGTGAATTGTAAAGGAAAAGCTATTTTTGAGTGTTGATTTGGCCTAGTTGAGGTAAGTTTCTTGCCTAATTTTGTGTGGGAGAACTAACCTGTAGGGATTGGTTTGATTGCACTATTTGAATTACGTGAAAGATGTGTATACGAGGTGATGAGTGTGTACACGGCTTTATATGTGGAAATTTGACCGGTTTAGATTCTTAGGTTTCTTATGTACATTAAATTGAAGTTTCCATATCATGTTATATCCTCAATTGTTAAATTTACTCTTACATGCTTTAATTGAAGTTGTTAGTATATGTTATATCTCTTATTGCCAAGTATACTTTTATATGCTTTAATTGAAGTTGTTGCTTCTTTTATTGTCATGTTATCTCTTCCATTGTTGATTTATTCTTATTTGAAGTCGTTCCCACATGTTATCTCTTTTATTGTTGAGTTATTCTTATTTGAAGTCATTATTACTTGTTATCTTTGTCGTTGTTGAGCTTATTCTTCTGCTACATTGTGTTGTTGAAATTCTTATGTTGATTACTTATCGTACTCTCGTGTTATTATCATTGTTGTTGTACTCAGTGTTGTTGAACTATGAGCTATGCGTGGTTGTGGTATTGGAATTGTTGTTATGAAAATAGTGTGGCATATGAGCACATGTGGCGCGAATTGTTATATTGTGTTGTAATGTTTCTTTTGGCTCATGTGGAATTGTTGAGAGGATTGTCGGGGTGTTTGCACGTGATTTGACAATGCTATTGTTATTCTTGATATTTTCACATGCGGCGAGACAAGGCGAGCTATATATGTTGGGTTTGCGCATGTGGCGAGACAAGATGGGATAATTACTATGCGTATGTGGCGAGACAAGGGGGCTATGTCGGGAATGATTTGTGATGGCCTGGATGTATTATTATTGATGATATTTGTGTGGTGGTGTGACCTTCTTGTGTGCGTCATGCATATTACGGGTTTTGTTATGTTGTTTCCAATGTGCTACTCGGTGTCTCTGATTTTACCTGTTGACTTGAACTGTGCTAGTACACTTGCACAAGCATACACCGTAACATGCCACCTATATCAGTCCAAGAGTATGAATCTTGATGTTTATTGATCATGTACATAAATTCTTGTATACCTGCCTTCTATGCGTGGATTGAACTGTTGGCACGTGAGTTGTCCGTGCGGATATGAGGTATTGTTACAATCGGCACATGAGTTGTCCGTACGAATATGAGGTATTGTTACCATTGGCACGTGAGTTGTCCATGCAGATCTGAGGCATTAATGGTTATTGGCGCGTGAGTGGCCAGTGCATCATGTGAGTTGTCTGTGCGATTATAATTGGTAATGTGGGCACGAGATTCTATGTGATTATGATTTGTGATTTGGGACCCGTGACTTGTGATTATGAGGTGTAGTACCCGGTGGTGATTCTTATGTAAACCTTGTGGAAGAACGGTTGATTATTTGGTTGTCATTTGTTTTCCTTAATTGAGTTCAATAAGACTTTAACTGTGTTCTGATTACTTTGCGGCGTTATAACCTGTTTACTCCTTGTTGTTGTTTGTTGCTTCTACTTTCCATTTGCTAGTGTCATATTGTTATTCTTTCCATGCTTAGTTTATATTGATATTCGTTCCTCTATTATTTTATACTAATACTAGCACAAGTTATTATGTCTAGTAGGTGTCTCGACTGTACCTCGTCGCTACTCCACCGAGGTTAGTCTTGATACTTACTGGGTACTGTTGTGATGTACTCATGCTACGCTTCTGCATATCTTTTGTGCAGATACAGGTACCTCTGAGCGTGTCGGGCGTTAGCTAGCTATTGAAGATTTGCTACGGAGACTTCAAGGTATACCTTCCACTATGCCTGCAGGCCTCAGAGTCACCGTCTAGATGCTTCACATTGTTACTATTTACTTCTATTCCAAACAGTGATGTATTCGATATTCTTAGATACTCTTAGAAATGCTTATGACTTCGTACTACTGATTTTGGGATATTGTATATTTGTTGATTATTGTTGGCTAAGTATGGCAGTTACTAGTTCATGTTTAATGGTTAATGATTTAGATCTGTTAATAATTCAGCATGTGTTAGGTTTACTCAGTCTTAGAGACTATGTGCCATCACGACATCCGA